TAAGCCATGAAGATTGGAGCTGCTCTTTCAGAAGTGAGGACAGGTCCCACCTCTCTCCTCTATTTATTCTTCCTTCCATGATCTCACCCAAGTTTAAATGCCATCTGGATGTCAATGTCTTCCACATTTACATCCTCAGTTCTCTCTCCTGGAATCCAAACTCACGTATCTGACTGCCTACACCACACCTCTTCTTGGATGCCTAATAGACATTCCAGTCACAAGGAGTTCCAAATTTGTGATTCCCTTTCCACCCACAGTCCATCTACAGTCTTCCCCATCCTCGTGGACAGAAATGTCTTCCTTCAAGTTGCTCCAGAGAAAAACTTTACAGTCATCCTTGACTCTGCTCTTGCTCCCCCATCACACATCTGCTCTAACAAATCTCTTAGCTTTTCTTTCATCGGTGCTGTTGCCTTGTCATTTGGATGCTGCCTTCATCTTTCTCATTTACCCAGGTCTCTCTGTAGTCGCTTCCCAGCCAATAACCACAGCGTCAGCAGATCGTGTCCCTCTGCTTGAAGTCTTATGTTGGTTTCTCATTACAATGTGTCCTCCAAGGGGGAAGACTTAGAGAGGACAAGCCCTGCCCTGAACCAGCTTGTGTGCTTTCTCTGATAACTATGTATGCCACATAATGGCACTGCTATCTTTCTGGATGATGCTGAATTCTACGAAAGGTCCCATGCCGGGGGAAACATAAGCTGGCATTTCAGAAAGGATGAGCCTGAGCAAAGTGCCCACTGTGTCAGCTCTGTGGGTAGTCTGTGTCCCTTCCAGGTGGAGGCAAATGCAAAAAGCAAATAGATGACTCTTCACATTGAACCAATGTGATTAAGAGAAAAAGAGGCTGACAATTTTCACATAATGTCCAAGTACTAGGATTACAACTAATTTTAAGAGCTCAGAGCTAGCTTTTCCTTGCTCCATAGGGAGGAAGTGTGAAAGGAAGGAAACAAGTTAGGAAACAGGACCCAGGAGGAGCCATGTAAATCCTTGCTCTCAAGTATGGAAGAACTCCCATCACCATGGGAGGACTTTGATGCTGGGTTTGCCCACTTGACTGGTGTTGGCTAGTGGAAAATGGACAACAGTGTGTGTGTGTGTGTGTGTGTGTTTCAAGATGAAAACATCCCATGGTTTCACCCTGCACCATGAGAAATATTTGACCTGGATATGCTCTTGGTCCTGGAAGAATGAGAGCCATGTGGAGCTGAGCCACCCCAGCCCACCCACATGGGCAGCAGTGAGATGTCAGTGGTTACTCTTGAGCACTGCAGAAGCTGCTGACTTAGCCAGCCACCATTAGTGGTGTGCCCTTGCTCTCCTCTGAAACAGGGGATAGTGATTTTGGATAAACCTATTTTGGAAGACTTCACAGCATGAGGTAAGGTGCTGCGTGTGTAGTGCAGACCTCAAAGTGTGGCAGGTTCTCAGTTAGTGGGACCTCCATGCTCCTGATGCTTGGCACATCACAGGGGATCCCTGCATCTAAGTGGGTGGATGCATTGGAGCCGTGCCAGGGTGTAATTCTGGGTCCAAGGGCTGGGTGGGGGTGTGAAGGAGTGAGGTCAGGTGCCCCTGGGCGGCGTGGGTGAAGTGGCAGGGTGCGGGTATTTGACTTATCTCTGTGTCACTTAGAAGTCTACAAGCAGGATGACCTGATAGGTGCCCCTGAGTAGGGGCATCGTGAGCCTGTTGAGCCGAATTCGCAGCCTGATGCCAGTGTAACCTCTGCCTCTTGCAGAGCCTTGGGAGAGACTTCCAGGCCCATGTTCTCTGTCCCCCACTAGCTGTGTGCTCCAGAGTGACACCTGATCCAGATGCCCCGCTGGCTGCTGGGCCAACCTTCCACGGGCCGCAGGCCTCGGGAAGAGAGCTTAGGTTTCATGCTGAGCAAATCAACCCCTTTCCACCGATGTCCTGGGCATGGTGGTATCTGGGCCTCCCCGTGTGGTAGGCCATCATTGTCCCTGTGGAGGGGACCCTGCAGGTGTGTGACAAAGGTCACTATGGGGAACACCTATATTGTTCCCTGCTGGAGCGTAACAGCACAAAATACCTGCTAGGTATGACCAGGTTGGAGGTGGTCACCTCTGCCCATGTAGGCCAGGTCTCCATCTCCTTTCACTTCCCCTTTCTTTTCTCATGGCCCTGGCAGACACAGAGAGTGAGGGACAGGAGGAGGAGAGGGAGCCCCTGATGGCTTCCCTCTGCGTTTCTAGGAGGTCTTCAGAGGCGGAAAGGGCCCTGCCTGCCTTGAGCACAAAGGCCTTAGCATGATGCTGAGACCTGGTGCCAGAGCTGCTTTTTCTTTCTTTTACTTTTAAATTAATTTTATTGGTACATTTTATTGGTACATTTTAGGTATACAATTCGTTTACATTTATCATTGGGTGCTTGTACCTGTACATGATGTATCTTGGCTTTTATTTTTTTTCCCATTATCTGTGTGCCCTTCACTCCCTCCACCCTTCCCTATTTACATAGATTTCATTTCCATTTTTTCTTTTCTTTTCTCATAGTTTTTCCTTTCCCCTTCCCCTCCCTTCACCCCTTCGTCTTTGGACCTTTTTTCCTATTTCAAATTATCACTTATTCATTTTAATCATTTCAACTCTTGTTTACACTATCAGTTTCTCACAGTACAGAAGCTATTTGGTATTTACACATGTGTGTCCTATTTATTTCACTTAAGAGGATGGCCTCGATATGCATCCATTTAGCTATAAATGACTCTAGTTTGTCGTTCTTTATGGCTGAGTAGTACTCCATTTTATAAAAAAACCACATTTTCTTGATCCAGTCTCCAGTTGTTGGGCACTTGGGCTGTTTCCAAGCTTTGGCTATCACAAACTGTGCTGCTATAAACATGGGTGCACATGTATCGCTGTGGTATGATTCTTTTAATTCTTTGGGGAAGATCCCCAGCAGTGGAATAGCTGGGTCAAATGGGACCTCCAGTCCTAGTTCTTTGAGGTATCTCCATACTGATTTCCACAGTGGTTGCACCAGTCTGCACTCCCACCAGCAGTGGAGCAGGGTTCCTCTTTCCCCACAACCCGTCAACATTTGTTATTGGTTGATTTCCTGGTAGCAGCCATTCTTTCTGGGGTGAGGAGGAATCTCAGTGCTGTTTTCATCTGCATCTCTCAAATGACCAGTGATGTTGAACATTTTTTCCTATATTTGTTTGCTGCTTTGACTTCTTTGTCTGAGACATGTCTGCTCATTTCAGATGCCCATTTCTGACCCTTACTCTCCTCGAGCCTTGTCACCGCTGCTGAGCAGGCCCAGTCGCACTGTAACTCAGGCCTCCACGCTGATGGAGGCAAAGCTCTTCCTGCTGAACGCTTCAGAGCCCTTCAGGGCTCTCAAAGCTTTATACTCCTTCCCCTTCCCCTTCCTTCCTTCTCTCCCTCGTCCCCTTTCCCTTCCATTCCTCCCCTCCCTGTTCCCCAGTGTGGCAGCTGCCATCTCATTTCATATTAATGAGCCTGGTGCTCGGGTTGGGGAGGGGGGAAAAGCCCCTCAATGATTGCGTGAGTGGCAATCTGTCAGAGGGTGTGTTGGGGCTTCATGTGCAATTTAATAGCTTTTCATGGTCTCTAAACTGCACATTCAAGATTATTTGAAAACATTTTATTTAATTTTCATGCTTTTTTAATCAAAAAAGTTAAAAGAATAATAATCTTTTATGGGCAGTTATAAATGTGCTATTTACACTCAAAAGAGAAATATCTCCCTTAGCTGAGCCGTCGAAGTGTGTGCTGAGAGAGAACTCCACAAGAATACTGATGAGGAAGGGCACCGTGTGTGCGTGTGTGGAGACAACTTAATTCGTCTTTCTAGGGGCTTGTGAGCTAGGTGCAGGGATTCCACAGATGCAGCCATCCTCCCAGCAGCTCCTCAACCTCTTCACATGGGAGCGAGCAGCAGTGAACATCTCTTGTGGAGGGCTGGGGTCTGGTCCCCTTGTGGGTAGGCCTAGGATCTGGGCTTCCATGTTTGTTGAATGAATAAATGAATGAGTGCAGGATTCCCCATCTTCTCCTATCCACCATCCAAAGTGAGACCTGTAAACATCCTCTCTGTCTTTTCCACATCGCTATTGGAGGTACAAGCAGCACCTACAACAGGGTCCTAGCTCGGGGAAGGACCCACCAAAGGTATGTGGAAGTTACAATGTTTTCATGCTGATGCAAAAATCATTATTTATCTATTGCTTGATGCAGAACCCTAGACCCAGACAACTTTAGAAAACTGAAGTCCAGTTTTTACTTTACAGATGAGGAAACAGAGTCAGGGTGAGAAAGCTCCTTGTAGGACAAAGCCAAGACTCGAATCCCACTTTGCTGCTCCCTTGCATTCCCCACGTGGGTTTCTTTCATCTCTTGGAGTGTGCTGCCTCAACCTTCTGACCTGCTGCATCTTCAGGATCACCGTGGTGGGCAGCAGCACCTCCCTCCCCTTCCTCCTTCAGCTTTGCACTGTCCTCTCTTTTCTGCCTAAGAAGCTGGGGATGAAACACTCCGAAGCCCCCAGCAGCTGGGTTTCCTGCTTCTGGACAGCTGGACAGAGTCCTCTAGATCTGTGGGCCCCAGAGAATGAAAATGATGCCACCCTGCCACTTCCTGGACAGGGTCAGGAGAGGGAGCCCTGGCCTGGCTGGGGGCCTCAGGGAGCGTTGAGGTCAGATCCCCAACTGTGGACAGCTGAGTCCCTCAGCTCTTTATCAATCCAAGGGAGAGCAAGAGCAATGACCACAGCATCATAATCATCATTGCCTTCGACAGGCATGGATGACAGAGACACTGTGGGGATTACTGTTTGAAATGAGCTGCCTCTTAGCCAATCCCAGCTCTTCAGAGTGACTTTGTACAGAATTAAAGGATCATGAAGCCCAAAGAGGCCCAGAGTGGATCGGTTCTGGCTTCCTGCCTCTGAAAGGACTAACCTTTATGGAATAGTTGCAGGAGAGGAAATTGAACCAAACTTACTTTTATATGTTATTCTTGTGATAGTGTCTCTGTTGAGCATTCGATTAAGAAATGGGTTTGATGAATCAGAAACCTAGAGGAGAAAAGAAAGTATTAATGACTAGGCAGCACTATCCCGTGATGAACGCCACCCCTGGCCTTCATTTGTTTCTCCCTCTTTCCAGAGTGCCCGCCATGTGCCAAATCCTAGGATGCCCAGAAATTCAGAGAGCAAAGGCTCCACCCTTCTCTGTGGGGACCCGCAGTGCAGAGAAGGAAGACGGGTGGGTGAGCCAGTGGTTCTCATGGGCGAGGGGCGCTGTGGTGGAGCCCCCGTTGTGACAGTATCAGGGGGACCCCGCCCACCATCCGGGGAACCTGTGAGCTGTATCTGGAAGGATAAGTGGGAGTTAGCAAAGTGTTTTGGTGGTGGAGGGTGGAAAAGTCAGAACAGCAAGGAAAAGCCTGGAGTGGACATGGGGCCGCGACAGCCAGGTATCTCCCTAGGTGGGGCTGGATCACTGCCTGGGGAATGGTGGGGGAGGGAAGATGGCGGGGAAGTGGGGAGATGCCTAGAGGGAGGGAGAGGCTGGCTCACAGCAGGTTTGAATGTCCTGTTGGGCATCTAAGCTTTGCTCTGTAGGGATGGAGAACCATCAAAGTGTCTTGAGCAGGGGATATGACAGGTTAGGACAGGGATATTTATCTAGAGAGTGAGAGAGTATCTAGAATAGCAGTATCATGAGATGAAAAAACACACACTATACATATAAGGTAATATAGGTAGTATAAGGTAGCATAAGGTCATATAGAACTTTGCTGTATCATTGTTAATTATTGCATGGATTAAATATATCAGCCATACCAGTCATCCATCCATCCATCCATCTACCCATCCAATAAATATTTACCAAGTGCCTATTATGGGCCAGATGTTGTTCTAAATGTTCAGAAATGAATTCCCATTTTATGCTGATACCCTTATATCTCCTCCTTTAGGATTAGAAGCTAAGCTTCAAGAGGCTCCGAGTCAGGCAACCACTATTTATGAGGCTGTGCTTTGGGTGCACGTAACTCTATGCAAGGTTTCCTTAACAATGCCTTCTGTACTCAGCCTCTTTTGAGCATCACTGTTCATCCTACTCATTTCTCTCCTTGCTCTGCTCTGCAATTTACGCCTCAGCTGCTAATCGGATGTTGTGACACATCAACATTTTAAATTTGATTTATTCTGAGGGTGGGGAAAATTGCAACAGATGATTATTATTATTAGATAGGCAACAGGTAATTTCAGTTTGGAGAAAGCACAGACTGTTTATTTTCCCTCCATCTGTCTCTCTTTTTGCAGCTTCCTGAGTGTGTTGTGGTGAGACACACACCACAGGGATCTCTGTGAGTGGCAGTTCTCTGTGGAGGTAACATCCACCCTGAGATGCAGACAGCTTCTGAGGCCAACTTTAGTCCCCACTTCAACTCGACATGTACTTCAGCACTGAAAAGAGAGCTAGAAGCCTCTCACTGAGAGCCCTGATGCACTCTGTGGAAGGAGGAGAACCAAAAACGCATTGTTCAAGCCTGGAAGGAGTATGCCCTGTCCCTTAGCTGCCAGGTGCCTTAGGCTCCTAACACCTGACGAGTGCAGGCAGCACTAATGTTGAGACCAGCCCCTTTTGAGTTGATTAAAAATAATTGAAAAAGTCCCAAAGTGCACACAGATGATTTGTGGGCACTGGTGTGTTGGCTGTGTGGGTGCAAGGATAAAATATATACTTGGGATAAGTGAGCTTAAGTGGGAAGTTAATGGTGTGTGATTGAGCCGCAATTACTGCAAAATCTCAGTTCCCCATGGTCAGGGGAAGGATGGGGGATTAGGGGAGGACAGAGATAAAGAAAACCCACAGATAAACAAGTCTTTTCTTTTAGCCAGTAACTCCAACGCCTCCTGTGGCTCAGCTTTTGAGCAGGGTGACATCTGTAGAACTAAACCACCCACGTGTGGGGCTGCAGAGGGCTTGGGAGGAGAAGCAGGGAGACCAAGAGGAGGAGAGGAGAGATTGAGCTGCAGAGGCTGCATGTCCTGGAGACCAGAGCTGAGCTCTCACCTCTGAGTGCCCGTGCTTAGCCGAAGACTGGCCTGGCTCCCCTGCTCAGTTGGAACTTTGATATGAGGCCAGAGAACTTGCAGTGGAGCTGAGTAACTGGGAGGTGATCATGTGGTGCAAAGACAGAAATGCTGCGACTGATTTTCAGAGGGAGCCAGGAAGCTTTAGGTTTGCTCAGGGAGAGAACAGGAGCATCCTCTGAGGCCAAAGTGGCCCAAGGAGATGCAGGAGCTACTTGCTGGCCTCAGACTATGGGCCCTGAGTTGTTCTCATCAACCTGCAGGGAAGCACCCAGGACCTGGAAGCCTTACCTGTCAGTCAGGCAGCAAGCCTGACTCAGTGCAGCAAGCATATCTGCTCGAGCCTGTGGGCCATGCCAACAGTTTGCTGCTGGGGAGGCTGGCTGCCCAGTGGCCCATTGGTCACTCTGCCCACTGTAATGTTTGTGCTTCTGGGATGACATTCATGGACTCAGGGGCTTTGAGCAAAGTGAGGCAAAGTTGGGGGCTGAGACTGAGACCCCTCCAAAGGACAGGGGTTAATAGCTCAGGCAGGTTGGCCTGTGGGAGCTACTCTGGGAAGGGTTGGCACCAGGAAGGCCATGGGGGAGGTGAGTTCACAGACATGCCTGAGAATGTGTGTTGTATCTTTGGACTGTAGACCACGAGTGTGGTCCAGGCTGAATGTACCAACTGGTGATTGGTGTCATCATAGGGCTGGAAGAGCAACGCAGAAATTTGCTCTGTGCTTGTGGATAACACTGTTTTTTTTTTTTTTTTTTTTCTCTCTTCTTGCTCTCTGTTGCCTTCCCTGTCTCTGTGGTAGAGGCACAGAATGAGAATAAGGTCATGAGCCTGAAAAGCAAGATTTGCATTCCTTCCCTGGCTGGGCTATGGTGAGCTACCTGAGCTTGGGTGAATACCAAGAATTCTCTGAATCATTTCCTTCATCTGTAAGATATGGACACAGATGACCAACCCATAGGCTTCTTACTAGTGCTAGAAGATCAAATAGAGGTAAAACACACATCACAGGGCCTGACACTCAGGATTCTGCTGTTTATTCTTCCAGGGTTTGTGATGATACCAAAAGATACAGAGCTGGAGCAATTTCGTAGAGATGTCATGTCCGGTACCAAGAAGGGAGGAAAGGCTAAAAAGATGCTTCCCTGGCTAAATGCCCTTTCCTCTCTTTGCTAATGACACAAACTAGAAGAGTTTGGGAGTGGTGGCCAACTGGTCACAGATGCCCCTGGCATGGCTGTGCCCCACCCTGACTCAGATAAGGGTCCAATCAGAAAGGAAACTCTTTTTTTTTTTTTTTGCTGTTGATGTTTTATTTTTTCTTTGCTTTCTTTCTTTTTGTTTTTATTTCCTCTCTTTTTTTTCTTTCTTTTCTATTAATATTTTTGGTATATCTGCTTCACTCTACTTCTGCCAAAATGTGTTTTTTATCTACTTTTTTATCAGTGGATATTAATTTCACAAACTGTGGTTCAGTATGTAGTATTTTCATGCATGCATGTAACATACTCTGATCACCTCCATCTCGCTTACCCTCCCTCCCCCCAAATGTAATTTAAAGAACAAATTAGAACTGTTTTGGTTGGAAATTGGCTGCTATTGTTGCTGCCTGCTAGGGAGAAGCCTGGCTCCCCAAGCAGGTCCTAAATCCTGCGTGGGTGACATGGCCTCATTTTGCCTGCGATGCTCCTGAGGTAGCACGTGAGGGAGGGACGGGCTGATGCCCCCGTGGAAAGCCAGGAGCAGCTGTTTTGTGCAGGGAGGGACATCTCAGACATGCCGGGCTTCCCAGGGGCAGTAGAGCAATGGGCCATGAGTTGCCAGCCCTAGGGGACACCGTAGGGCCACCCCCTTCCTACTATTGCAATCTTCCGATTCCACGGCATTAAGCTTGTCCCAGGCCTGGAGCCCTTTTCCTCTCTAGGACAGAAGCTGCCTAGACGCTTAGGCCCTGACGCTCTGCAGCAGTGCCCATGGTCTGCACCTTGTGGCCAGGGACCCATTTTTTATGGATCTTGTAGATACTGAAATCAGGAGACCTGCGGCTTTCTTCACCATGAACGCTTGTCCACATCACCCTTTTAAATATTTTTAACAGATGCTAGACTGATGTTCTGGCTGGGCTGGGGAGTGGCAGGAAGAGAGAAATGGAGGAATGCAAGAGACTTACTTTTATAAATATAGAAACTACCACCAATCCATTTGGACTCTTTGCAGCTTCTGTGACATTTGTGTATAACTCATGGTTATAGTGGATGAGCTGCACCTGGTAGGAGGGAAAAACAAGAATCAGAACATCTGGCATCCAGAGGTTCAAGGTATACAATATGCACCCTGTAAGAGTGAACTGCACAGTACATTGAGTAGCACCTAGAAAAGACCAGCTTGGACTGGAAGGGATTTCAGAGGCATAGAAAAGTGTGCGTCTTTGTGTGTAAAATGCACACACACATATAGACATAGATGCGTGTGCCAAGATCCCTGTACATATTTGCAAATGTTTTCTGGTAACAAGCGTGCTTTTAGTCAGCTCGGTGCCCGTCTGGCTCTGGCTCCCTCCCAGGACGTTTGCTTTATAGCGTGTTAAGTGAATTTTCCTTATTAGGAAAGGGGTGGCCCTGAAGGGGTTGTTGCCCTCCCTCTTGGCTGCACCAACAGCTACCACTGGCAGCGAGTGAATCTTCCTGGCAGCCTTGGGAGAGCAGGGAGCTGTTGGCAACCGAAGCAGCTAAGTGTCCCTGGGCAGAGGGGAGGGGACTCTGACTCCAGCGAGCTGAGGCTCAGACTCAGGTCCATTCCCTCCTCCTCCTCCAGTGAGGGCCTGCATCTGCCTGTCGGGTCCTTTGTGTACCAAGCAAGTGTGGGCCATACATATCACATCTGGATCCTTTTTACTTCTCCCTCCCCTCCTCCTCCTCCTGGCTGCTCCCATCCCTAGATCCCCTTCTTATCTCCACAAGGCTGACCTCTCTGTTCCCTATCATCTATCTTTTATTTTGCTCTTTAAATTGCTTATACTTTGCATTTTTCATATAAGAGAAACCATGCAATATTGAACCAGTGTCTGATTTATTTCACTTAGTATTATGGTCTTGAGATGCATCCATTTTCCTACAAATGCCTCAAATTTATCCTTCTCTATGGCTGAGGAGTACTCATACATAGATACACACACTTGTATACATATATATATATCATATACACAACCCCTTTTAAAACTTGTGAAACACAGAAAATACATAAATTTCAAACTGATGTACCACCAATGTTTAGCCATATGATCAAGTTACTCCACACCACTGAGACTCAATTACTTCCTCTGAAAAATGGGTATAATTATCTCCTGGAATTTGTCTCAGGGATGCTGTTTGAGAAGATTTTTAAAAACAATACAGAAGTGTAATTTTTGTAATAAATTAAAAATATAGACTTACAAAATAGAGATAGACCCTCCCCTTCATCTCTCTCTGATCACAGTTCAAGCAATATGACCAGTAATATTTTAATGTGTATCCTCCCAGCTATTCCTTTGTGCTTATAAATATACACACACACAAATGGGGATTAAAAACCATAGAGATGGAATCATGTACAATTATGATTCTGAAGCTGACTTTTAAAAATATAAAAGTAGGGCTGGGGATTTAGCTCAGTGGTTCTGCTGCCTGCCTCACAAGTGCAAGGTCCTGAGTTCGATCCTCAGTACCAAAAAAAAAAAAAAAAAGAGTACATTGTAGCTATCTTTTTAAGTTCATGCATTTAGACCTAGCTAAGTATTCCTAATACCTATAGCATTCTCCAGTGCATGAACAGCCTACCTATTTAACCACCCTCTCACAGACTTTCAGGTTGTTTCCATTTTCTGTCTCTTACAAACAGCGTCCCAGCAAGTGCATCATATGTCTTTCTGTAATGGTGTAAGCACTTTCCACAGGCTGATTTGAGAATCTAAGGCAGTGCATGTAAAAGTGATTTGTGTCCTGAAGAGAGTGTTTGTTATTGCCAACATGCTGTATTGCATTAAAAAAGAAGTGAAGTTTTAGAAATTAGGAAAAGCAACTTTAGAAGCTCGGAAAGTGCTTGTCCTTGAACTTGGAAGATAACATCTCTCACACAGTGGTTTGCAGCTTGCTCGGTGCTGCTTTGAGAGCCTACCTGTGCCCGCCTGCCCACCTATCTTCAGTTCTGAGTTAGTTGATTTTGGGAAGGAACCAGGAGCTGGTGTTTGTTCAGAGTGCTGCAGCTTGAGGTGGCTGAAGTTGAGAACCATGGATCACACTCAGTGGGAATCAGCAGCCCATCAGTGCCCACGCAGTGGATGGCACCTTGAACCTGGAGATGTCCCAAACATCTGCAGTTGATAGAAAACTTCTCATGAAGGGCACATGGTACTGCAGCTCCTGAAATTTCCCATTTTCTGATTCTGGTTCTTGTCAGTTTGGCCAATAGACAGAACAGATGGTTGTGCCTCAGGTCCTCTGCCATCAGAAGTGCAGCTGAGACAGGAGCTGGTGAGTGCTCTGCTGTGCAAGACTCAGTTTCACCCATCCCCTGACCTCATTTCCCAGCACAACCAGCACTTCTGGTAGCTGGAGAATGCTGCCATGGGAGGAACCAGGAGCTGTGGGTTTCCACTCACTCATAACCTTCTCTCCAGTGCTGGGGCTTTCAAATGAGAATGAGGCCCATGCTGCCGTCTGCTAGGGCCTTCCCGCCTGATCCAGGTGGTCTGCAAAGCAAGCTGGGCCTGTGCTGGTGCTTCCAGGAATACCTTGAAATTGCAGCAGGCTTGGGACACTAGAGCAGGGAAGAGGAAGGCAATGCGGGAGGGATTCTTCTCTTCAACTTGCAAGCCAGAAAGATGCAAGGGGAAGTCTGCCCCAGGGGGTGAGATTCTGTCCAGAACAGGGCCTCTGAGAAGCTATGGGTGCATCCAGGGGTGAGATCGTGCTCTGCTTCAAGCTCAAGGTAACACATGTAGGACTTTGGTGTGAAGCTTCCCTGTCCCCTGATAGCATGAGCTTGCAGTTGGTTGATGACAGCCTGTTGTGTTAGATTGAACCACATGAAAATGATGTTTTGATTTTTTAATAGCTAACATGATCTTGAATGAGGCCCTTATCTCCCTAGGCCCCTCCCCGGATGTTAATAAGATGACATCCTGCTTTCTACTCAATGTCTGGTCAAGGGGCTGCCAACAGTCAGAGCATCTGGGAGCTCTTCAGAAAAGCAGTATCTTGAGCCCCACCCAGACAGGATTGCTTGAGTCAACATTTGCCTTCTTACACATTCCCAGAGACTGGCAGCTCATTTAGCAGATACTGCTGAGTGGTTGGAAGAACCCCATCTTGTCTGGCTGTTCATTCCTCCGTTTGGGTGTACATGACTCACGTGCTGAGAGACAGGCTGGGTCAGACTTTAGGAGGCCTGGCCTATCAGCTGCCGGAGGGCTGTGAGCAGGAGAAGGAGAGGATCTTCGGGGACTGGAGGAGGGCAGGTCGAAGCAGGCCAACAGACTAGAGGTGGGGAAGGTGTCATTTCAGGTGGTGGCCCCTCAGGAAGCGCTGTCAGGGGACTTTGCAATTTACAGTGTGTGTATGTGTGTGTGTGTGTGCGCGCGCTTGTGCATATGTGCACACATGTGTGCAGTGAGGAGGCACCAAGAGAGTCCCCAGGCCACAGAACCTCCAGGAACAACAGAAAAGCCCAGGAAGCAGCTCCAAAGTGGCCAGGGGTCTTGTTCCGCCTGTCAGGATGCAATTTGGGCATCAAGAGGAAGAGGGAGATAACAGGGGCTGCCCTCATCTGAGCACTGACCACAGGGCTTAGCCATGCAACTGTGCCGCTGCTCTCCCACCTGCCTCCACCTCCTAGCTCTCTGTCAGTGGCAGGTGAGGTCCTGCAGTGGCTGCCCCTGTTCTTCTCCAGCCTGGCATCATGGTGGTGCCCTTCCAATGCTCCCTGACCACTCCAGACATGCCAGGGCAGGGATGGGCCTGGTGGAAAGGGGTTTGCTACTTGTCCTGCCGTGAACTTGGTTTTGGGGAGCAGCAATGAGCAAATCACACCCTGCTGGGGAAAGAATGTCAGATGGGCAGGTGGATTCTGCAAGCAATGCTTGTGGATGACTTCCAGCCATTTACAGACAGCACTTTGAAGTGCAAACCCTACAAAGTCTGAGTTTCGAATAACTTAGATGGGTTCTAGAGGTTGTTTAGCTTAGCCTCAGCTTTGCAGTTTAATGTAATCAAAGTGTCTGGCATGAAATAATAGGGAATTGGTAAGTGATTGTTTAACCTTCTGAGCAGGTGTGAGAGGCCATGAAGACCACAGGCATAATCTGGAAACTGCTATAAGAACAAACTCTTTGGGGGCTGAGGATGACATTTGAATTAAACACTGAGTTTAGCTATTCATTAAAGAGATGCCCTGAGGGCTTCTGCCAGCCTAGTTGGAAATTACTGTCAGAAAGAGCTAAACCTGGATTACTGGAAATTCTGTTATAATCTTGCCTTTTTATTAATTTTGGAGGAGTGTCCTCCTACAGGTTTCTAGAAAATCAAGACTGAGAAATGGGAGTCTTAGAGGAAGAAATATAAAAATGGAGAAACTAGGAGATAAGATGACAGCAGGTGCCAAGATCCAATGCATTCTCCGTGTCTAAGTCCTCTGTGACTTGAAGTGACTTGACCTTTTGTCACACTAGCCTGAACCTTGTACAGTAACCTGAACCTTGTGCTGTGATCCTGGAAGCGTTGCTTCACCCTGTCCTTTACACTGGCCTGGGATTTTTTTGTTCAGTAAGCCATTGAGGGCCAAGAATATGCCAAGGCCAACTGGGATTAAACTTGATAAAGTCCTTGCCCTCCACGACATGGTTTTGACACCGTCATGACAGATTTAGGGACACCACAGGGAGGGGGAACAGGCAGAATCCTGGGCCCTTGCCCGTTGCTCATTACAGATGAGATTTGTGTTTTCTCCCGGGACAGCCAGGGACTTAAAAACCATTTTTGTTATGAACCATGACCTTTCACTTGGATCTACAGATGCCAATGAGGTGACTAAAAGCAGTCTAGCTTTCATTGGATATTCTTTGTTACTATAAATCTTAGGTCAAAACTCTTCCCAGGTCTGCACAGGGGTATGTTGATCGTTTAGAAAGCTGGCCAGATAGGGTTGATTAGCCCTGGTTTTACTTGGTATCACTTCCTTGTAAGACTGACAACACCAAGATAAAGAGGTTTACAGGGTCATTCAGCTACA